GGTAAATATATTCTCATACCATCTTTCCTCTTCCTTCCCCTCCCCTTCTGTCCTCCTCCCGATGGTCTACTTTGTCTCCTTAGACAGATTAACATCTGCTTTCAAGTACTACATAAATGAGTTCATAGATACATAGATGGGTAATTTTATTTATCTCTATAAAATCTAGGAACCGCAAACGAGAGAAGGCAGGCAATATTTGGGTTTTTTTGTTCTGCTATTGGCTTAATCTGAGTTGATTTTTTTAAAACATCTTCCTTGAAAGCCAAGCTAAAAAATTTAGTCTTTATCAAAAATGTAATTAGAATCATTAAATTATTCAAAGAGTAGCACAGATTTAACTTAAAATGATCAGTCCTTTGCCCAGTGAGGAGGCTAAACTAGGGTAAGAGACTTTAAAACTCTGAGTTAGGAAGATTGGTGCTATGTGAACTGTTCTCCAGAGAGAACAGTTGAAAGTCCAGGTGCCCAGAAGGAGAAAGGGGAGGAAAAGGACCCGAAGGGGAAGCTGGATTGTCTGAGGTGTGAAGCTAAATGTGTGCCTCTGCCCCTGGGCTCCTTCCATAGATGTCTTTCCGAGGTCCTCTGCAGGCTGGCTGGCTTCTGGAGTGACAGAAGAGCACTCAGGATTACTGGTGCCCTTGTTGAAGTCATCCCTGCAGTGACAGACTGCCTGTTCCCCAAATAGATGTCTTGCATGAAAAGAGAAAGCAAAACAGAACAGATAATCAGTGGCTCTTCTCTGTCACCACGCAGAACCCACAAAACCATCCCCTGAGCTCCTAGAACACCGTGTCCCTTTGCATTCTGGAAGATAATTGCAGTGTAGTCGTGACCAAAACGAAAAGTCCATTTTTAACCGCAGCCTCTTGATCACCCCATCCAGATGAAGAGGGCCAGATTCTCTGTAGCCCAGTTCCTGGATCCCCAAGGCTCAAAAAGAAAGGGCTTTGAAGGAAAGTGTGGAGGCAGTCCACAAGTACTGTTTATACCTAATATGCCTAATGTGTCTGTTGGAAGAGAGGGCCTGAAGCTCAGGACCACATCTGGTGACCAGAAGGGTCCTGTCTAAGAGGGTAAGATTGTAGCCAGCAGATCCTTGTTGGGTGTGCTGTATTGTTCAGGAGCCATGGGACCACAATGTGATGATGCTCCTGTAGGCCACAGATAGGATCCAGCCCAACCTCAGCAGGCTGAGAAGGATCTGACCAAAGAGGAAGCATGAGAGCCACCTAGCAAGAAGAAAGAAAATCAGGTAGCCTGTGTTTACAAACACTGTAGCTTCCCATGGGCAATCTCTAGTGATTATTAGTCTAGTTACTCTAGTAATGACATTTATTATTTTTAACTTTTTAGAATTTAGAATGACTTGACTATTCCACTTCTCTGCTAAAAGCTGGGATGCAGTCATTCTCCAGCATATGCCTTTGTTTTCACTTGAATTTAGACTGCAGATTTTGCGATTCTCTCTGAGGTTACTTGTTAGAACATAAACAGACTACACTTACCTGCTTGTGCCACTAGGTGGTGCACACATATATTAGTCAATTGCAGGATAATAGGGTTTATTATCAGATGAGAATTAATTCGTCACCACAGAGGGGATATAGACAGCAGGAGCTACAGAGGATGGGGAGAGGAGAAGAAGGGATGCACTCACAGAAGAGAGAGATTTATTTATTTATTTTTATTTTTATTTTATTTATTTATTTTTATTTTTATTTTATTTATTTATTTTTATTTATTTATTTATTTTTTTGCTAACTGAAGAATAGTGAAGCAAAGCCATAAAAGGAGGAAACCTGGGAGATGTGATGTGGCAGATGTGGCCTTGGGGAGGGAGGGGGTGCGTGGGGGAAGAACAGGCCTATTTTCCAAGATGATGGCCCCCTTCTTAAAAGGTAATCCCACAGGGAATGAGAAACTAGTTAAGTCACTTGAACTAGATGATATCAGACAGTCCTCGCAGGCTTTTGTTCTGGGCACTGGAAGCACAGAGATGAAATGGATGACTCCAACATCAAGTAAGGAGCTCACACGATAGACAGACACAGAAATAACTATTAAGCCAGCATGGTACAAGAGATCAATTTTACAGTGTACACTGGAGAAACAAAGCAGAAAGTACTTATTCTGCCGAAGAAAGGGGAGAAGGGAGCTAGGCATGAGAGCTAGTGGACAGAGAGACTTCACAGAGGACTCCAGAAGTCCCAACAGCCCTGGCGGAAAGAACACCATAAGCACAGGCGTGGGGGTTTGGAAGGATGCTGTGGACCTGGAGATTAGCTCAGGGAGCTCAGCAAGTGTTTACTGAGTGCTCCTCTGCAGAGTGGAGCGGGGTAACGAAGGCGCTTAGTAGTTCTGAGTCTGTAAAATGTCTCTGTCTATTGAGGAAGATTCACGCAGGCGCTAAAATTGCAATGGGACAGTACAGCATGCAAAATGTGGTTCTTATGAGTTCTGACTCCACCCTTGAACCTCAGTACCGGAGCCCAAGGTTGCTGAGAGAATTCTGCACAAAAAAGGGGGAGCTCTCATGTATAGCACCTGGTTGCATTTGACTTGAAGCCTCTCTTGATCTTTTTAAAGTTCTGAAGTTCGTAGCCAGAAACAGCCAGTTATAGAACACCACACACAGGCGCCAGGACTCGTACCCAGGTGTGTCTGACTCTTGCCAGATTTTTCTTCTCATTCTTCTCTACTGGATCCCAAGCACAGAGTGACCATTTAGCAATTGTTCTTAAGAAGGGATTAGAAACTTTTTGGATAAATAGGCTTTTTTTTCTAATTGTGACCATCATGAAAATAAACTTATGGAAGAAAGGAGACTACTGGATCCTTCTCCTATATGAGCAGAGTGCCAGGCTGTGCAGGTTGGCTTGGGGAAAGGCAGTTTGAGCCAATCTTCCCTCTGCTAGGTTCCACATTAGGGGAAGGAGGCCATCTGGCTCCAGCGTTCCCCCTCACTGGCATGTATGAGTCTGTATTTCATTTCAGCGTGAGAACTCATGCTCGCTACATAGATCAGTGACATCTTGGAGATGCATTGTTTGCTTGAAGTCAACTGGAATGAGTTATGAGCTGGCAGGAAAATGGGGATGTGTTACAGGGCAGGCCTCAAAAAGATACAGACTTGCCTGGAGATCCGTGAGAAGTCAGAAACAACCAGGAGAGAAATCTTCAAGCAATTTTTGTTGTAGCAGATCAAAGTTGAATGCCTGAGGAGATCACCCCAAGGACAAGGAAATTCGAGAACAGGTCCCCATGGGAAAAAAATGGACAGAGGAATTGAGAACATTTAGCCTGGAGAAACAGAAACAGGTATTACTATGGGCTGAGACAACAGAAATCAGTGATGCTACTGTGGGCACCTCACTCTGTTCAGAGGAGAGCTGAATGGACAGTAAGAAGTAGGGAGTTCCTTGTCAAGGAAAGAGGTAGAACAGAAATAGTTCATAGAACTAGGTGTGGGAAGGGAACATTGAAGCAAATGAAAAGACTCCTAAGGGCCTAGTATTGATTCTACGCAAATGGAAGAGGCAGCCTGTGTGACCAAGGGTTGGATGTCCTATAATAAAAGCCCCCCCCCACTGAACTAAATAGGTCATCTTACTCATAACCTATTATGAATTACGATTGCCATAAATAGACTTAGAAATAGGATTGAAACCAGCATGATCTTGCCAGTTAGTGAAGGTGCGGTTGTGAGCGTTTGTTTCCAGGCTTTGAATGTAAGTACTCGTCCTTCCCCTGGGCTCGCTGTGAGTCTGAAATGATATCTCAAAGCTCCTAGCACTTCCCATGCCTTGCCTTTATTCTGCACTAGTCAAGCGAACGTTGCTGACTTCAGTTCTGCTTAAGCTGAACTTCAGGAGGCCATTTTTGGAAAATGGCAAGATAAAGAGGGTGAGGTGGAATCAGACAAGGGGTCACTGGAGAAAATGCCAGGGATGAGAAGTTCCTGCAGCATGAAGCCTAAAGCCAAAGTTGTGTGACCCTTTAAAGAAGATGGAATTATCTATCTTCAGTATTTCTCCTAGAAAAGAGAAGGAACAGTCGGGCAGTGGTGGTGCACACCTTTAATCCCAGCAGTCGGGAGGCAGAGGCAGGAGGATCTCTGTGAGTTCAAGGCCAGCCTGTTCTACAAAGCTAGTTCTAGGACAGGCTTCAAAGCTACAGAGAAACCCTGTCTTGAAAAAAGACAAAAGAAAGAGAGAAGGTGCTCAGCAGGAAGACTGAGGATTAGAGAACCCTGATGTCTTTAAGGAAAGCTGTTTACCATGGTCCCAGTCTGAACTTTCTACACCATTTCTCTGCTCTCACAGTGTCCAGTTCAACACACAGCTTCCTAGGGGTTGGGGAGCTGTACAAGATGACAGCCCTTCAGAGATGTTGATCATCTCAGGTACACACACAAAGTCCAAACACAAGGACCCTCATTCATATAATGCAATATACTTGATAACCAGATTTCTGATTGGCTATACATGAACTAAGGGGTAGGGATTACACTGGAGAAGGAATGCTCAGATCATCATTGGCAACTGACATTGCTGGGTGTTGTAAGTGTTCTCAAGAACTGAGCCCACAGAAGTACCTGGGAGGCAAGTTGCTCAAGGCAAAGAAGGGTGCCAGTATATGAGTTAATCAACTGGTGCAAACACTTCAAGCAAAGAGAAATCTAAGGGCATGGAGTCCAGAGGAATGTGCCTGTATGGGGGATTGGAATGGGCCTTTGCTCTGTGTCTTTGGTAAACCACATTCTCTCCAGGCCTTTTAAAAAAATCTACAGTATGGGCTTATCTAGATGTCCAAAAAGGCTATGTGCTCTACCTTGTCTGTATGGGAGAAGAACCCTCAGCACAATCATGTCCCATAAAATGCACACTGCTCTGTGTGTCCAGACTTCCTCTTGTGTTTCTCCCCTGCCCTGCTAGGCACAGGTTTGGCTGTGGTGCCAGTCACTGCCCTCCGTCCTCACTGTGTGTTTTCTCTTGCAGCAACAGCGGCAGCTTGACCTCCTGACAATAACCAACCCTGGTGAGTAGGTGCAGAGCACCATTCTGCTTAGAGTTTACTCGGAATCATGCCTTGCAGCCTCTCCACATGCGAGCCCCGCCCTCGGCTCCCGTCCAGAATGAAAGCTGTAATTCTTGCACCTTTTAATGGCCTTCCTCTGCGGGCCACTTTCCTTTCCCTCCCAGCTCTGTGCTGTCCCCTGTTGACTGAAGGTGACAGGGCCACAGCTCTGGGTGACAAGTGCACTCTCTAGGAGTGAAGTTTTTTCCCCAAATCACTCATTGGACTCACATATCAAGAAATGGTTCTGGTCTCCTGGGAATGCCTTTTAAAGTTATGGGAAATGGAGAAGCAGCCTACCAGGTGCTATAGAACGACGGGACAATGGCTCATAAGCAAGAGCCTGAGGTGATGGGGTTTGGTCACTGGCTGGTCTGAGGGTCAAAGTGGCATTTGTTTGTCTCCGTTAAGGGAGATTCAAGGCTCAAAACAAACCTGTGGCTGTGGGACCAGAGGCCGTTTCCTTCCCTGAGGTTTCTTTAGCCCAATGAGAGGCTGAGCAGTTTAGTGATATCAGGGAGCTATCTCACTTTGGTTTGGAAAGCCAAGGCTAAATTGAGCTAGAGAAACATTTTTTTAACCAGTGCCAAGAGAGATTGTGAGCATTTGTGAGTGGTCTGCACCCATGGTGATAAAAAATATTTAAGAGCCCCAGTGAACAGCTCCTTTGGTTACTGAACTGTGAAGGGGTGGGCTCCAAGGGAAGGAGCGAGTGTGGCAGAGTGGTTTTATGTAAGGGGCAGCTCGGGAATCGCTCTCAACAAATGTGGAGATATTCAATATTTTAGTAGCCAACGTGGACAACTATGTTGGCCCCACCTTCCACCAGGCCACTATACTTGAGGGAAAAGCTACCATTTTTTGTGGTAGCAAAAAGCCTGAAAAATTGCACTCAGCAGGCAGAATCCTAGCACAAGGGTTAGTTACCTGGTCTACGTATAGTACACTAAGGACGGAGGTAAGGTGCATTTACCCATGTCGGGGGACATGTTTCCACGTGATGCAGCCCTTTGAAATTGAGGCATGAGAAGAATGAATGTGGAAATCGTTGTTGTTGAGTTGGGTCTCACACAGTCGAGTGGCCTTGAAATTTTCAGTTTTTCTAAGAATGATCTTGAACTTCTGATATCCTCGTGATTCCACCATCCTAATGCTGCTGTCACAAGTGTGTACCGTGCCTGGGTGGAAACCATTGAAAACTGTTTCATATGCCCTAGAGAATTATTATCATTTGATAATAATTTAAAGTATTTATACCTTTTTCCAATCACACAGAAGGTTACTAAAAAGAGTTCTATCTGTCTCCTTGAGGCATATAACCCAGGAGAGGAATTACTAATTATATGCATCAGATTTGCCACATAACCAGCAACTGTTCTCCAGTTCCGGAAATCTACTCTTCCAACAGCAGAGTCTAAGCGCTTTCCTTTCTTCGATTCCTCAACACTCAAATGTATCAGAAACAAACTTTGCCAATCAGCATGATGAGCATAAAATGGTGCCCCGGCCTTGCTGTTGTGTGTGTCCCTGATTGGTGGTAGGGTAGATTATCTTCTTTATATGTTCTCTGCTGCTTTGACGTCTATGGCTTGATTTTTTGTATCCTTTGTGTACAGACTATGGGGTCATCTCTATCTTACTGATTCAGAATTCATTATTCTGAATATTTCCATTATATTCACTGCAAACGTCCCAGAATGTGCCTTGTACTTTTTCATTGCTCTGCTGTTCATAATATATTGTGGAAAATTTCTTAAGTTTAATGTTATGTTTATTAATTTCTTGCCATAAGAGCTTTGCTTTGTGAGAAATCCTTTCCAACCGGCTATAACATTTTCCTAAGTCAGGTGTGATGATTTCCACCTGTAACTCCAACATTCTTGAGGCTGGGGTGGGAGGATTTCAGCAGACTCAAAGTCAGGCTGGGCTACAGAATGAGACTATCTCCAAAACAAACTTGTAACAAAGACATATACATATGCATAGCCTTTAATCCCAGCACACAGAAGGCAGAGGCACTGTGAGTTTGAGGTTGGTTCCAGGCCAGCCCAGGGCTACACACTGATGATACCCTGTCACAAACAAACAAAAAGCGTGTGTGTGCCTGTATGTGTGTACCTCTAATACTGGAGAATTTCTTGTGTTCTATCTGAGCCATTACTTTGTCTCAACAATGACTAATCTTTGTATACATTATCAGCCAGGAATTTCATTATTTTTTAATTTACATATGAATAACTCATTGTCTCAGACCCATATGACAACCAGCCCTCCTTTCCCAATCTCGTGACAATTATACCTCCGTTACATTAGTTTTCCTACATGTGGAATCTGTTTCTGAGCTCTGGTCTATGTGTCTTACTTTTTGCCAACTTTCCAATGTTTTATTTAAAGAATTTCAAACTTAATATTATCGTTGTAATTGATTGGAAGACATCTTTCCCCTTTTCCCTTTTATCCTTACCTTTTGAAGGTTATAATTATAGATTTTAAAGTGTACTTCTTACACAAAGTCTAATAATCTGTATTGTGACAACACAACTTAATCCATTGGTGGACCAATGAAACATTTCATCTGATAAAGGCACTTGCCACATAAGTCTGAAAACCTGAGTTTGATCCCTGAAACATATGTGTCCTGCCTGGTTCTTAAGTCAACTTGACACAAGTTAGAATCATCTAAGAGGAGGGAACCTCAATTGAGAAAAAAACCTCCCTAAGACTGGGCCATAGACAAGCCTGTAGGGCATTTTCTTAACAGTGATCGATGTAAGAGGGTACATTGCATGGTGGTCCTAGGTGCTATAAGAAAGCTGGTTGAGCAAGCCAATAGGCAGCACCCCTCCATGGCCCCTGCATCAGCTCCTACATCTAGGTCCCTGCCTGGTTAGAGGGCTTGCTTTGGCTTCCCTCAATGGACTATGTTTCAGGATGTGTAACCCCGATAAATCCTTTCCTCCCCAAGCTGCTTCTGGTCATGGTGTTTGATCACAGCAATGGTAACCCTGAAACACTATGTAAGGCAGAAGGACAGAAGCCACACCACAAAGTTTTCCTCTGATCTCCACACATGCAGTCTGACACATATGCTCATGTACTCATCAATGATAGGTAAAAGTAATATATTTATATGTATAATAATTCAAATATAATAATAATTTGAATATATTTCTTTTTCCATAGTTGTGCTTCCTCAATCATGTAATTTCTTTGACCTGTCCTTTAAAAATAAAACTTTAAAAGCTTACTAGGAATTGAACACGGAGGCTGCAGCATTACTAAGCAAGCAGCTTCCTCTAAGTTACACCCCCTGACCTCTTTTTCCCCTTTTAACTTTTTATTTTGAGCCAGGGTCTCACCAAGTTGTTCAGGCTGGCCTTGAACTCATTCTATGGCCCAAACAAACCTTGAATTTTTAACCTTAAGCTTGACCTCCTGAGAAGCCTTCCTGCCTTTTGCTTTCTATTATTTCTTGAAGTTTGATATGTTACCTGCTCTTTCCGTCTCCTCTGCAGATCTGGCTGCTATAGATTTTCTTTCTGGCCTTAGCTGATCACCCTGTGGCTATATACCGTTCCTTTCCTTACAAACTCCAGTCCTTCAGATTCCTTTCATCTTCCATCAGACGAGTTCCTTGGTAGGTCTTTGCCATCTATTGCACACCGCCCCGTCACCGCCTCATCATTTTTGTTTAGACTTTTAACTTTTAACCTTTTATGAAAAGAATAAAAATGTGCTGTTAGTGTTAGCCACTGGCTTCTCCCACACAGTTTATGAGTTTCTGTGCTCTCTTGTATATTGTGCTGCGAGCCTTCCCTGTGCGGCTGCTCAAAGCACAGCTGTAATCGCTGTTCTAATGAGCGTCCCTGGGCAAGCTTATTGATCAGTGCTAGCCTTACTTTGGCTTCTCCCTAGGGTGATAATTTGTCTAGATATGACTTCTAATTTGAGGAGTTTCCCCCAGCACTTTGACGATTTTGTTCACTGTCTCTCCATGTTAGTATTTTATTTTTTCAATTATTTTGAAACTTTAATTTGGATGATCCCTTTGGAAAGGAAGTTTTCTAGTTTTTTTTCTCTCCACTTCCTCTGTCCTCACTTCTCCCTCTGACATTTTCTGTAGTTTTTCCCCCACATCTTCAGAGTAGGACCTGAGGGATATAGCAGATGCAAAGATAAAAAGTTGGGGTGCTTCCAGTTCCAGAATTGTTCTCTCTCACCTTTCCCAGGCTTGAGGTGCATAGGCACCCTCTCTGGAGAGTTCCACAGCAACCATCTTTACTTGGCTCTTTCCATCACAGGAGAGTCCCACTCACGATCTACGCCAAAGTTCTTCTCTGATTTCCATCTGCTACAGGGCCGTGTTGTCCTTCTCATCCCACAGGGAGCAAAGTCTTGCCTGTTTCCCCTACTTCTACACCTCGATCTCAGCAAGCCACTGACCCCAGAACCCTTCACCTGGCTGCACTTGTGCTCATCTCAGCATTGCAGAGATGTGCCACACAATGGGGTGTAACTGTGTTTACATGTGTTATCAAATATATTCAATATCCAATATGACCAAAATCAAGGCGTTTATTGAAGCATGGACTCATTTTGTCATTTGACTCAGGAGTCCAGCTGTAATTTCCTTTTTACTTCTTAAAAAGTACATTCTTTATAGCGTCTTCTGTGAGAAGATAAGGAAGTATTGTTTTGATAAATGAAACATTTAACAGGTTTCAAAAACATTACTTTTGTATATGAACATACAAATACAAAGGTAATTTTAAAATGAAATTAGAATATAGTGTATAGACCCTCTTTATTTGAGTGGTGTGAACTCCCTATAATGTTATCACATATTTTCTGAGAATGTCACAAAGTTGAAAGCCATGCCATAATATTTTAATTTTCTATTGCCTATTGCTTAGTCAATTATTTAATTGTATATGGAATCACATGGAATTTATCTATTTATT